GTATCCCAGGATGTGGCGAGAATAAGGGAGTGATATGGACGAGGATCCTAGGATATGGCGAGGATATGTGAATGATATGGCTGATGATATGGTCATATCCTGGATATGCAGAACTCATATCCTGGGATATGGCAGGGATATGGCGGGGATATAGCGTAAACATGCTGGCGATATGGGCTCGCAGGATCGGCAACATGAACCAGATGAGCACACGATCTCTGAAACAAAGTGTAATACAGATTTTACAACAATTTCAGATCAATTATGCATCCATGTTCCTAGTCAAGTAACTACCCATCAAATCATCCACCTGTTAGTTCTCTAAGTAACTACCTATCATGAATACAATGACGACACAACTCCCATTAACATTCCTTTCCACCGATCCCTGCCAAATGCACCCTTACCCTGCCATTTCTGATTACTGCCAAACATTCTGACATCTACCACAGACTGCCATGGCCCATAATTAACATTCCCACACACGCACAGACGTACACCTTATGCTACGTTACCCTCTCCACCGTCATTTGCTTTGCGATTCTCAAAGACGATAGGAGCCCCTGCGCGCAGGCGCAGGCTCGCGCGAGCCAGCCACAGATTTGATGTCACAAAACATCACATTACAATGCAAGGGAGTGCTATATGCAGTCCGAAGGGGGGGGGGTATTCCATCACTTTGCGCTGTGACATGGCATTTCGCCGGGACGCTGTCCCTGCGATTGATTCAGGCACGGATCAGGCCCCGCCAAAACACGATGGCTTCGAAACTGGGAGCGGCCCTTGCCAGCCCACAAGTTATGTGGGCAACCGCCAAGTCTCCGTGGTCGATCAGTCCAGGCGCGATGGCAACGATGGCCAACCTGGCGACCAAGGGATCCCAGGCGCCGGCACACAAGGAGCATCGCCCCTGACAAGCCGCGGCATTGGCTGCCGCATCGCTGGTCGGGTCTACAACGTCTTTCCATGCGCCCCTTTGTGAGCAAGCAGCATGCCCGTGCCGGCCACATTGTTGGCTGGAAACCACGCCCCCAACGAGCGCCCCGCAGATTCTTTGCCTTGGCAACCTGCGCAGCTTGCAAATGGCCCCAACACCCAGCTGGTCCCGTCAGTCTCCCCAACCGATCTCGGCGCATTGCCAATTGCGCCACACAGTAAACGACTGGCTATCAGATCGACCCCTTCGTATCCCCGCTACACTGGGCAACTTTAAACGCTCAATAACATTGCCGCTGCCCTGTTCACAAGGCACATCTTGCTCGAAACCAACGAGATCTGCAGCCCGTCAGCCTACAAATGGGCAAGGCGATCGATTGGGTGAGCGGGGTGCACAAAGCGGTGTTCGAACCGAGCTCTTATCTCACAGAGTACAATGTCTCATTTGTAATCCCTAGGCATGGTTACCACTGGGAGTCTAATATTTGATCTGAATTCAGCTTTTCGTGGTGGGTTTTCGAATTCAGGGAACTTTCCTTTTCAATTCTGTACCAATTGCCGTTTGTTTCTGATGGCAGCTTGCCACCGTGGTGGCCATGGCACATGTCTGTTTCTGGGCATAGTTTGCTTTGGTCGAACGCCTTGAAGGACAGGCGTAAGAGGTGGATCTGCTCGATGATATTGATCCCACTGGCCAGAAGTTTGCGAAAGGGTGCGCTGCAGCAGCCGATGCCGCGGCTTGTGAGGGGCGATGCTCCTTGTGTGCCGGCGCCTGGGATCCCTTGGTCGCCAGGTTGGCCATCGTTGCCATCGCGCCTGGGCTGGTCGACCACGGAGACTTGGCGGTGGCCCACATAACTTGTGGGCCGCTCTGGCAGGGGCCGCTCCCAGTTTCGAAACCATCGTGTTTTGGCGGGGCCTGATCCGTGCCTGAATCAATCGCAGGGACAGCGTCCCGGCGAAATGCCAAATCAAAGCGCAAAGTGATGGGCGACCCCCATCCCTGCGGACTGTATATAGCACTACCCAGGGCATACAAATCAACGAAACGTCAAAACAGTCAGCACCCGCGTCCTCCACAGCATGCAGGCAGAGCACGTCATCCAAGATCTATTCAAGGCGCCCACGCAAAACACAGGCAGATCTGTGGCACCTTCAAAACGAATTTGATAGTGCCCTGGGCTCCACACACACATACAAGCACATTCAAGCTACCTTGCCAACACTGCCATCGTCTACGTTGTAGATGCGATGCTGTAAGACAACTGGAGCCCCTGCGAGCGAACCACAGATTTGATGTCACAGAACGCAGTCATCAAACACAGGCAAAGGCACCCAAATCAACGAAAACTCCAAGACAGTCGGCACCCATGTCCTCAGCACTCCCTCTAAGATCTGTACGCGGCGCCCACGCTAAACACGGGAAATCTGTGGCACCTCCAAGACGAACTCGGCCAGCCAAGACCGCCATGGCTGATTGAGGCAAGCAGGCGACCGACCCGAACAACCACCGCACAAGATCCGACATCCGCCCACCAGACAGTAGCGCCACAGCACAGCACAGCAACATGTCAAACCACAGCACAGCACGTCTAGTGCAACTGCCCAGCGGCACACGCCCAACGGCACGGCCGCGCACACAGTTACGCCGCCGCGCACCTCCATCGCGCATCCCACCACCAGGCCTCCAAGCCGCGCCATCATATCGCCGCCGTGATGCGCCGTGTCTCGCCTGGCCCACGGCCACCGTTGCTCCACGCCCGGACTTGCTAGCGCAGCACGGGGTTGGAGGGCTTTGGCGGGAATGACAGAAGCCAGACCGCTCGAATTGACGGACGCTATCTACTGGCGCAGCCCTGGCGCAATCATTATGCAATTATATTGTAATGTCACTGTAATGATTATGTCGTGTTTTTGCGCACGGAAAGTACACAGATCGACAGAAACTGACTGATTGAAAGAATAATTCGTGCTGGTAACGGGCGCCGGCGCCGGCGCATTGTTGAATGATCAAGGGCCGGTCGGGAGACGCAACGCCGAAGCACATCAAACACGGCGTTGGCACCAGGAAACCCCTGGCCCGGGCCAAGCGTTGCAGAGGCGATCGCCTGCAGCCCGACCCACCACATCACCTTGTCATTTCCTATGGCACGTATCCCTGGATATGGGCGTCCATATCCCAGGATGTATGCGCCCATATCGCGGGATATGGTGAGGATAAGGGCGAGGATATGGCTACATCCCAGGGTATGAGAGCCCATATCCTGGGACATGGCCATATCCCGGATATGCATATGGCAGCCATACCCAGGGATATGGAGGGGTATGGCCATATCCTAGATATGCATATCCAGGAGATGGCCACCATATCCCAGGATATGGCGCCCATATCCTGGGACACGGCCATATCCTGGATATGTACATCCAGTATATGCAACTTTTTTCCGACGGGATAATGACACATGGACGCGATTTCGTGACCCATCACCCAGTTTCAGATGGCGCAGTAGTTTTCCAGTGGCTCCATTTGACCTGCAGTGCCACACGGGTCACTTCCCACCCCGCCGATGTCTTGGCGTGGCGGCGCACCCCGCGCCACACCAAGATGCAGGTGACCCTCTGTTGAATCTCGCTGCGAACTTCAGTGCGATGTGCGCACACAATTCTTTTGGACAACCTCGGAGATGTGTCGCCTGTTTTGCGGCAACCACAGCCTGGATGGTGACACATACGGACGCGATTTCGTGGCCCGTCACACAGTTTCAGATCGCACAGTAGTTTGCCCGCGCTCCATTTGACCTGCAATCCCATAGCGGTCACTTCCCGTCACTGCGGTCCCTGAAATGCATCGCGAAGAGCGGTGGATACTTGTTCACACCCTCCCCTCGTCCCGACACCCAACCTGAACTCAAAAACCTGGTTCGCTGCGGACATTGGCCGGTGGGGGATGCTCTGCTGGCAGGTTGTACAACCACATGTGGACACGGCCGCAACCACGCAGCTGCGGCGATCGCACTGACAAAGGTGCGCCCTCGCGAATGCCAACGGCCAATTTGGCTTTCGGGCAGCTCCTGTGGGCCGGCATTCTGCTCATGGGGGAATCGGGCAGCGGTGGCGAAGGTGCCTGGCCCTCGTTACCTGTCCTTGGCGCATGCGGGGCGCGAGTGGCTGACCCGAATGGGGAGCGCTCAACGAGGCGCATGCGTGAGTGCACGGCCGTTCCCTACCGGCCCCGGCACCGGTGGGTTGGCGTGCGTCGATCGAGCCACACTTGGCTTTGGATTGACGGCAGCACCGCCAGGTCCATACCCTACCGAATAGTCGCAGGGCCGATTTCCACGAAGGGCGCGATTTTGACGCTGCTCCGCAACCACCCGACGAATGGATGGATCTTCTGTAGGATTGCGATTTGGACCGAGCGCGATCGCACTCTTTCGCACTCCAGCATCATGCCTTGCTCGCCGAGACTTTGGCGGTTCTCTGAGATTCTGTAAGCACGTGCACCCCGAGCCGTGCGCGCGTGGATGCGCATTTGCGCACTTCCTCACCCGCCGTTCGTCACTCCGCCGCGGGACCCGCAGCGCAGTTGGCGCGCTTGGCACTGTACTGGGCCCGCACATGCGCTCGGCAGCACAACGGTGTTCGGAGCATCCCAGTTTCCTGCGCTCGTCTCGTTGAAGATTCAAAGGGACATGGTGTGGGCGTGGCGCAATCGTCGTCGTGCTGCGCGGGGCCGGCGGCGAATGGATAGTCACCACCAAGCCCATCTTCGCGCTGTTCGTCTCGGCCATTCCATATTGATTCTGTTTCCTGTCCTCTGGCTTTACACTGACGCGCTTAAGGCTACTCGATGATGGAATGGAATTAAACGCTTCACCGGCAAACATCTGCGAATTCGCACATGGATCAACGCTTCCCAAAGGAAAAGTGCGGTGAGCTGCCCATTTTGAAGAACGCATGCAATCAGGATCTGCTCGCCACAATTCCTGACCAGGGATCCCGAGCAAATGTGCGGATGGGATGGGACTGACAACTGTGACCCATCGCACAGGACATCATCTACAATGTGGACGGGACTGACTCGCTGGGGGCTCATTCGCTGGGGGCTGAGTGCATTCGCAGTGTGGCTGCTGTGTCGAGTAGTCTGCCACTCAGGGTGGATTGAGGTGAGCGGGGCTTCCTCTTTGTTCGATGAATATTTTTTCGCATATCACCTGAAAAGGGCAGATATTTGTGTCACTTTGTGGGTGCATGGCCGTTGGTATGCGGCTAAGAAGCATTCGGAAAAGACCCACATGTCAGTATTGACACGTGCTGATCTCTGTTCGAACGTTGCGTCAATGTTGATGCACTGACGTTGCTGCATCACAATCAGAACGTGATCAATGACACCGTACGCACTGTTTTCCACCAACATCTTACATTGTTGCAGATGGTGGGTGGATGTTCAACGGATTTCATAAAGGGTCTGCAGCACACCCACTGTCAAATCCATTCCAAGCACCAAAACTATATAAAAGCGTGTATTAAACTAAGATATGGTTGATCGTGCGGTCCCCAACGTAAAAATAACAGATCTCTGCAGTCCGTTAAGTCGTGCAGAAAGAAACTGCCACTCTCAGCACATCCCTGGCACCTTTTCATGTGACTAGAGTTACACTCTCGCAGTGCAGGTGCGATGGGGGTTTGCAAATGAACTACCCTCGAAAGGGGCAACGTTTCCAGAAATTCCCTTTCTCGACAAGAATCCTGAATGGTCGGGTGTGTGCAAGCACGGATATGTGCGCTACGCTCTATTTCAAGGAACAGAGGCTGAAAGATGGACGAAAACCTACGCCGCTTTGGAAGGCCGAGAAATCGCCGCTTGAGAATCAACGCGCGACACTTTGTGTGGGCTCATTAGGCTTCGTTGGAGGGACAGGTCGACCCGTGGGAATGCGGAGAATTTCCATACGTGGTGTCCGTGCTTCGACAACGTCCGCAGTTCAGGCACGGCTGCGACGCCGTTGTGGTTAACAAGCGATGGGTCATCACGTCGGCGCACTGCTTGGAGGACCTGCGGGATTCCGGGGACTCCGATGCCAATCCAATCATTCTGTTTGGAGCCTGCTACGGAAGACCTGCCGAAGTAGGTGATCGACGAATATATGTGTTGATGGACTCTCAGAAATTGAGCATCCATGGCGGCTGGCCCACGGACGTGAGGGTTTTGCAGATTGGCGCTCCCTTCAGAATCAAATGCCATCAGTGTTTCGATTCAGATTCATTCAAAGTGCACAGCACAACGGATTTGCTTGGCCGCATCATGAGTTGCTACACCAGCGCAGTGGCCTAGGCTCCTAACAGCCGTTGATCGCACGTGAACAGGTGATGCGGACAGACTACACCGCAGTTCACCCTGATTACACGGGCCGCTACACGCAATCCAACGACATCGCCTTGATGCGGCTGGAAAAAGATGCACCAGATATGCCTGGGGTCTTGCCCAGCAGAGACTTTACCACAGATGTGTCCTCACACAAGTGGCCAACACTTGAACTCACCTGGCAGGGCTTCATTGACTCAATGTATTACACCACCATCAGTGCCAGTCAATCAAGGTTGTACAACGCATCGGGAGACGGCAAGCTCGCCCGTCTGGGGTCGGCGGTTGCCATTGTCGATTCATCGGATTGCCACAGCGTTAGTGGAGAGATCTGCGTGAAAATAAACAAGACATGCGTTGGTAAGGGCTGCAGCAGCGCATTGGCAAACTTAATGTCTTCTATTTTTTTGTTGCGATTCGCGCGCCCTCCAGACACGGCTGCAGATGCCTTCCCTGTGCGCAAAGAGTGAGGCCACACTTTTCACGTGTCTCTCTTCTCAGATAGGAACTGTGCAGGGCTCTCTGGTTCGTGTCTGTGTGCGATTCGAAATTTTGCAGCACTCAACAATCTGTTGGATGCGCCAGGAAACGGTGGAGGTGTCCTGGTGCTCCGTGCAAACTCTATAGGGCGCCACAATGACCTGGTCGTGGGACTGGCTGCGTTTCCAAATGATGCAGAGGGATGCGTAAACGCATCCCAGCCAAGGGCCTTCACGAAGCTTTGGGAGCAGCTCGATTGGATGAGAGATACAACACAGGTGCGGGCCTGTGAAAGCAGGACGCATGCACGCACACGCAAATGAAGATGAAGGCGACCAAAACATTTCGACCTCTTGAGTATTTGTCCCAAAACATGACAAATTACTTTCGGTGCAAAGGTGTATGCGTGGTGATACGCGAGATGCTCAGATTCAAGCACTGAAATGCGTGGATTTACATACATTATGCGCCAATGTGCAGATTGCAATACGCCGTCTAAAAATCTTGTCCGACTTTCATATTTACTATAACTTTCTGATGTCGACCCGGTTATCCAATCTGCCAGAAGATTTGGATTCCCGACTGGTATCAAGTTGGTAGTAATCATGATTGCTTTTTTCACCGTCGCGAAACACAGATTCACAGCGTTGTTGCGAATATCCTTGTCCAGTTCCGTGCAGGGCCTCGATGCACTATATTCTTGCATTCGCCTCATAACGGCATACCCCAACCCAATCTACCAATTCATAAATAACCTTGAAATATACAACAGATGGACAATAGTACATCCATTCAAGAGTTTTGGACCCATCGCTATCATACTTGTTGTGGACAGTCTCTTCTTATGTGTCGAATCGCGCTTCCTCAATTTTCCTTATCAGAGATTGGTCACGTTGCCTAAATCTAAGCCGCCTTTTAGTTTGACGTCAATATGAACGGCCTCCCAAACTTCTGTCACATAGACGGTGTTGCAATGATCAAGTTGCGTCTTGTCCTTCGGCCACAATCTCAATGCGGTTGATGTCTGAACCTCAAATTTTAATGCGGACTCCCACCCATCTACTTGCCGATTCTGGCGGAATTGAGTCGCATCATCAGTACATACAAAAGTACTGAACGCTGCCGCGCTCCTAGTGATAGGTCAGCTGGATCCACTCCTTTTGAAGAGTAATACAAGCCGCCCTTATTACATTTATGGTAATAGCAAAACACAAAGTCGTGTTTGGGATCACGCTAGCACACAACCTGAACGGCAGCACCGCATGCAACGTTTGAAGACTCTATAGGCAGCTTTTCATAGGGCGCTTCGAAGTCGTTGAGTCAAATTTTCTGCTTCGCACGTCACAGCCTCCATTTGCAGAGGTTGGCAAACGGACACAACTTTGCGGACATAGCTGGTTTAAATTTTCATCTCCATAGCTCAGATAATATGCGATTCGTTCTGGACGCGTTTTGGGTGATGCACAAATATACGGAAACTTGCCCGAAATGCCATCGTGCCAAATGGTTTTGAGGTACACATCATACGTGCTTGGTTTGCTGGATTCCGTCATCAGGATTTTAACCAAAAAATAGTCGGGAATGAGATTTCATCGACGAGAGCTTAATTAGATTTCAGTTGTGAGTTTATTCACCAGTCAGGTTTAGTTTTGCTGTTCCTAATATTAAATGGTTTGGGTCTTGTTCTCTGATTATTATTGTCTGAGCAGCTCATTGCATAATTTCAATCGATTTCGAGATCAGGGTTTCTGCAAGCGCAACGTTTGGTCATGTTTTTGAGCTATCATTGATTTATCATGCTACAATATCATTCGACTTTGACCAGTAGGATAGCTTACAATGCTTACCATGACATCTAGCGCAGTCAGTCGACTGGGTCGACTTGAGTGCGGCCGAGCATGAATAGGGATTGGTTCTCAATTCGAAATAAAAATCATCCTATAGCAAGTACGAGAGAATTAGAAGTTCCTTGCGAATTACTTGCGTATGGCGTCGCCCTTCGACCGCAAAAAGCGTTCATTTTGGCTTTTAAGCAAACAAAGTCAAGTGAACTGCTTTTCTGAATTGCAGCAATCGCGCAATTCACACGTACACTTGAAATAAGCTGTGAAATTGAGTTCGAAAAATGTCCAGCCACTGCCAGGGTACCTGAATCGTCATTCGAATTATCTAATGATGCATCTTTTTGTGCTGCAGATCCAAATACGAATAGGCGATCTTAATAATAGTAAAGTAAACAATGCCTTCAATGCGTTATTTTTGCATTTCAATCCAGAATGTTTTTCTAACTTGGGAAGCAAATTTGGATTGAAATCAATCATTTTCGTATCAGATCAGAATTTCGTTCTAAAGTGGAATGAAACAGTCATCCGTCTTCTGATTTCATTCGGGTCGTCCATCGTAGGGGCTGCTGGAGCCGGACAAGAAAGAAATGGCGGCAAAGGTGAGGAAACGTGTCTTTCCCTACTTTCGCAACCGTTTCCCGTTTTACCAATAAATGGTTTGAGTTTTCTGGTAAACTTGGCATTATCTCTTTTTTAGAAGTATGTTAACTAAACAAATTGGGTAATTCCATAGCCAAATCATTACAACGCACGCGTAGCTCATGGTCGAGTTACAAGACCCGGTCACGGCTCCATACCTGAGAGGAAGCGCGTATGTTACTTTGTGCTGAGGTTGTCAATTAGCAGCAATACGCGTGCGACAATGACATGGCCTGGATTCAACGGGCTCGCGCCCCCCTGAGGAAATCAGCGAACACTTTTTCCTCAATACTCAGTCACTCCAAGTGGCCTGCAGAGTTTTAAGTGTCACAGGTCTGTTGATGTATACGTAGACAAGATATGGAGTTCGTGCAAATCAGGTTGAAGCTTCACCCAGCCGCGTGGCATTCTGGCGCTGATGGACCACGACGCATCCGCTGGCCTTCAGTTCTCGGGCCTGGATTGCACAGCCAATGAGCACACAAGGAGATGCTCTGACAAGATAGGCACATTGGATGAATGCATAACGACCTGGCTGTAACATGGCCATTTGGACGTCCTATGAAGGCTGCCTGTTTTGCCTGAGCCGTTGCCTTGAAATTAATTCAAAAATTTCTCCACACTGTTTCAGCACGAGGTCTGTATTAATGCATGACACTCAAGACGCAGCTCGCAAAGCAAATCGCGTTAGCTACATTGATGCATCTAACGTTGCACTGCAGGTGATATCTTCTCGGCGAGTGATTATTATGATTTGTGCACCATATATGCAATATAGTTCAAATTAACTTGGTAGATCCATTGTTTGTACGATACTGCACTCAGCCTCCAATACTTTAGTGCGCGATACCGAACTCAGCCTCTTAGTTAACGGGACTAATTCAATATTGGGAATCATTTCCTTGAGAATACATAAAACGCACAGTAGTGTCCTTTTATGCAGAAAATTATTTTGCTCAAGAAGAAAAATTTCTCAGGCAGAGGTTTTTGAAAAGACGATGGTTTGTTGTTCCAATTTCGGAAAGTGCACATAGTCGCTCTACTCGCATTAAAAGTGAGAGCGGCCACAAACTCATGCACACAATTAAACACGCGGCAGGTGCCCAATTTATGTGCAATTCAGTGTATAATACCCCGGAACTGAGAAAGGCAGGATGGCGTCTCACGCGTGTTGCAAAATCGATGAACTCCGCAAGTCGACGTTATCCGTATGCTGAGACATATCTCATTTCACCGCAGTTGGACACAGCCGTGTATGCTGGAGATTCGGAGGGTGTGAGGGCGGCCTTGAGCGCTGGTGCCGACATCGTGGCGAGACCATTCGGAAGCGTTTTCAATGGCGCGGTAGCGGGGGGCAACTTGGATATATGCGGCCTGCTTTTGGATGCGGGGGCCGATCCCAGCGAGAGCTTCTTTTTCATTCAAAATCCTGACAGGGATTGGCCCCTCAATACAGCCGTTTTTGACGGCAATGCCGCTATGGTGGAATTACTCTTGGGGGCGGGGGCGGGGGGAAAAGGCTTCGACCGATGCGTGCCCTCGAGATTTGGGCCGTACAACATCGGTTTTGAGGCGTGCAGTAAGTCCTATCCGAGCCACTACGGGAAGACGGAAAGACCAAAGGATAAAATCGAGGCGTATGGCAAGATTGCGGCTGCGCTGATGGAGGCCGGTGCATGCGGCGGCTGTCGGGAGAAACAAGGACCTGCGTGTTTTGGTGCTTCCGGGTTTAATGAAGATTGTTGATGGCGAGATATGCCATACAGACAACCAGAGGGCGAGTGGGGAAAACGCAGGCATCTGCAGCGCATTGATCGAAAAATGCTTGTGCCGACGATGATCACCAGAAAAATCCAAACCACGATTGGCAGTCTACTTTTCAAAATACCAGGGTGGTGTGCATGCAATCAAAATGATCGATGAACAGTACGAATGCACCCACGAGTAATAATTACGAGTAGCAATTACAAGGCCGGACATGCGGGCGCTGTGCACGCGCCCTCCTGTGATTAACCCGGTACAACGTCGCGTAGATGGGCGTACTCCCACAATGGCAATGAATTGCAGGCACCTCAACTCGATCTTTAAGACCAAGTTAAACGAACCAATTGCATGAAATGCTATCTAATTGTTGGGTGAGCTCTTGCAGCAATTAGTATGGCATTGAATGCAACGATTGTTATACCAACCTGTGCATCCATCGGTGCACCAATTGATATGGCGATCTATGCACCGATCGCGCCACAGCAATGAGGGAAATGTTGGGTGATAAGATCTAGTGACGTCGACTCAAATTTGAAGCCGAGTGCCATTAGTAAGTGCCACGCACGAAATCGACGGGCCAACGGCTTGGGCGCCGTGCGGTTGGCATTCACAATTACTTTCCTATCGTGTCTTGCGAGCGCCAGTGCACCAGCACCCTTTTTTTAATTGAAAATCACCTAAGTAACCTAATTAAGTAAATTAAGTAACCTAACTCTGCGGATTAAAAAGATGCAAAAAACGCCCCATCGCGTAGATAATGGCAGCGCTAATGTTTACCATGAACAGAATTCCGACGATATGCTAGACGGTCTGAAGATGCCCCACAATACGATCCATATGCATACACTCAATACCACACAGCCTCCCCACACCGACGACCAGCATGACTATGAAACCGCCGAGAAAAACCATGCACCGATCCACCATACAAATCACCCTCGCCATGGCAGCCACACACGCCAGTGCCACATGAGCACCAGGGCTCAGCGATGCATCCGCCCCACCGTCCGTCATGGCAACGTTCATCCAACCCAAAAACTCGTTACTCAACATCCTTACTTGCCCAGCGTCCAACACCCCTTGCGCTTTCGCACCCCAACCAGGGGTACGCAGGGCTCCACACACGCAACTGCTCAACCATAGTCGGTCCATGCAGTCTCAAAGCTCCAGAACGCGCTATCCAGTCCGTCGGAGGGCCTTACACGCCGAAAATAGCCGGCTCTCAGGTTCACGGACACCGAGAGGGGGCCTGATACGATTCGGGTACCTTCAAGGGGCTCCAAGTCAGACTTTGCGTGTGGATATAGATGGCCGAGTCGCACACACACGCTCAGGGGCCTGCGCAGATCTGCTATGCAGAATCTCCAAAGTCTTTTATTACAAATCAGAGTGTCGTATACAATATTCTGTCTTTTCCCAGGTTGCCTTACACAAGGCATTGTCCCATGCCAGACTCTCTTGACGTCTCATACAGCCCATATCGGTCAAATCCTTCCTCAACTATATCCCCATACGGTGTCACTTCTGCCAACCATATGCGTGCACCTCTCCAACGACTTCCCCCCGATCAGACCCTGGTCCGACGTGTCCCCAGCGTGCTAGGTCCCAGTCATCGTGCTGCGGCCAGTACCATGAGATCCGCTTGTCACTCCTTGTCCCGCAGTCACGGCTCCTCGTAGGTTGCAGCGGCTTCCGATTGGGTCGTGTCAATCACCAGGGATCAGGCCACACCGCGGCTCCTCAACTCTCATCATTGGGGTTGAATCCGGGCGGCAGTACGCGTGTTGACGGGCCCTTGTCAAAGCCAGGGGGAAGTGCTAGTTAGAGGTGGCCACTCAAAGGTGCCATCCGGTCCATTAAATCCGGTTCGTTAATTTTTATCAGCTGTCCGTTAAATTTCGTTAAAGAAAAAGGGAGAAAATTTCAGAAAAAACGAAAAAAATCCAAAAAAATCGAAAAAAACCCAAAAAATCACAACAACTGCGGCTAGTTGAAAATTTAGTATGCATAGGTTGAAATAAAATACAAACAAAAAATCCAAAAATCCGCTATTTTTTGGTTAATTTTTGTCTTTTTTCGTTATGTTCCATTAATTAACGGAAAATAACGGAAATTAACCTCTGTCCGCTATTAGCGGTTCCGTGTGGCCACCTCTAGTGCTAGTACCGGAGGGCGCTTGTCCTGACCGTCCCCATCACCGGCTCCCCCTGCTTTGGGCTTCCGCTTATGGAAGATCCGTCTCCATGCATGCCTCTCGGCTCTCGCCTCCACATCAGTCTGGGCTGGCTTGCCGGCGTTGATTCTGGCGGCCACTTCACGACATGCGGCATCATACGTAGCGCTGCGCCGTACGTCCGCATTGGGTGGGGTGTTGGTCGCAAAGTCCCGGTACTCCCGGGGAATCTCCTGGTCGAAGTCAGACAGCAACGATCGGGCAAACGCATGCCTGTCGAGTCCGCCTCCCTCCGGCCTCCATCCCCGGCGGTCAGTAAAAGGTATTGCAACCTCCATCCAAACCGGCAGCCCTTCCATTCCAGGATCCGCGGCCCTTCCCACTCCATCATGCCACGAAAATGCAGCTGGAAAGCAGAAACACTCATCCTGGAGTACAGTTCCGTCTCACGGACTTTCACCTCCAGCTCCCATTCGCGATGAATCGCGTTGGGGTCATACGCATCGTTCCAAATTGAGCGCTCGCCAACCCCCAGCATGAAAGCTCCATCCAGCTGCATGGAGGCGTTTTGCAGGTGCACGTCGCGGGCCAATTCCTGTAGCTCCGCCCTCTCACGCTCTCTACAATGTTCCCTCAGAATCCAGGGAGCGTCTTCCTGGCTGAAAGGAGCCTTCACAGTGATGAGGAACGCCTAGAATCCCACAGGCGCATCGACGCCGTTCAACGCCCAACGGCGTAGGCGTAGATGGCCGAGAGTCGGCCACTGGGCGATAAAGAACTTCCAGCCTTCAACCTGGCGGAAACGGCCAGCAGCCATGGTGCTTGGTGGCACGCAACACGGAGCGGATGGTCGGACTGGCAACGGGCTGATATGCTTTGATAGCCCCAGCCCATAAATAGCCTCACAGGCTGCGTACAGCTGTCGGACAGGTTGGATACCTGATGTAACAACAGCTTAAGTCCAGCTGTTCATACAGCTGGTATTTCTGGTGATAGCTCGCCATCATGAGTGAAAGACGGCTTGACAGGAGGGTGCTAACGGCTGGCTGGACGCATAGTTGTACGAATTCTCCCTTGTAATCCACCTGACTGACTCCAGGTCTTGTTTATCTGTTTTGTTTGGGTATAGACGAAGCCTTGTCGTAGTCCCTTCTTATAATCCCCCTTCTGGTCATGTATAACATTATTGCCTTGAGTAGTAATCCCATCTTTTGTCGGTTTATCCTAGCAGCCGTACCCTTATCCTTCGGAGATGTAGTTAGGACGAAATGCAGGCTGGTCGTCGTGGTCCATCTTGCGCATACTTAATGAAGTTGATGAAGTCATTTGCCACTTGATAATGGACTGGAAATGACCAACTTTAGCAACGAACCAATTGCATGAAATGCTATCCAATTGTTGGGTGAGCTCGTGCAGCAATTAGTATGGCATTGAATGCAACGATTGTTATACCAACCTGTGCATCCATCGGTGCACCAATTGATATGGCGATCTATGCACCGATCGCGCCACAGCAATGAGGGAAATGTTGGGTGATAAGATCTAGTGATGTCGACTCAAATTTGAAGCCGAGTGCCATTAGCAAGTGCCACGCACAAAATCGACGGGCCAACGGCTTGGGCGCCGTGCGGTTGGCATTCACAATACTTTCCTTTCGCATCTTGCGAGCTCCAGTGCACCAGCACCCGTTTTTTAAATTGAAAATCACCTAAGTATCCTAATTAAGTAACTTAAGTAACCTAACTCTGCGGATTGAAAAGACGAGAGAAGTGATAGAGAACAGGCCTGTTGCCAGTTGACAACATTCTGACGGACTTTGAAGGAAATCTCCTCTTTTTCTTTCACGCACGGGCGCACAGTATAAGTGTCTCCAACAAAAGTTGCATCATGTTTCCATTGTCATTGACAGATTTAATTCCGTCCTTGATTTTTTCGTTTTTCTGGATGATGAATTCAGCTGTCGTCCGTTACACATCAGCGTTCATGGTCTGCTCGTCCGTTCACCATGCTTTTTTTCCTCGCGCTCATATTTTCCATTCGTACTGGTTTGTTGCCCGACAAGGAGCATGCGTGCAGGAGAGCGCTTGCAAATAGCTTTGGCACGGGGAGGGGCGTGGGCGAGGCGCAAATGGGGCAGCCCAGGCGCTGGCTACCAGCGCCTTGGCTGCCCTGCTATTGACCGGAGATTGACTGCCAATTGGCCGGCGCGATAGCAGGCGATCTCCACAGCTAGGCTTAGCAAGTTTGGCGCCTCAGTCGCCGCTGAGTCGCCACTCATTTGAGTCTCCTGATTGGAATCAGAGACTGTGGCTGGGCCGGTGTTGTGGATGATTGTGTGGAAGATGGGCAGCCAAGTTTTGGGCATTATGGCTGGGCCAGTAGGGTGGGCGATCGTGGTGGTCGTTCACACTTGACAGGCTTTGCCGCAAGGCATGCACAAGCAGTAAAGGAACGCAAGGGGAAACGCTGGTCGGCGCTTGGGCGCAACAAAGCTCTTTAAATGAGTGGGTGGGGTGGCGAATGGGGGGTGGGGTGGGGAGAGGGGGTGACGACTGGAGCTGATGGAGGGCCAATCAAAAAAACAGACACGCTCTTTTGCGCACTCCTTGCAACTCGGCGAGTAGTCGATGTCCGCATTGAAAATTTCATGCCTCGCACAACAAAACGGTTGAGCTCGGGTGGGAAGGGTGGGGGCAAAGCATGTTTCCATCAGAATGGCTGGTGAGTTTGTGCTGTAGCACAGCAGCGCTTGGGCGCGGGGCCGCCAAGAGGGGAGGGCAGCAAAGCACGCACGCCAAGGCAGCAATGG